TTCCCACATGGTTGACCATTGTTCAAATCCCAGACCTGGAGGCTTGCTCTCTCTCTTTCTCTCTATGTCTCTATCTGGTCAAATTAAAATAAATGAATGAATAAATAAAATTAAATACATAATTTTAAAAAAGAATTATTTACTTACTTATTTATTTTAATTTGACCAGAGAGGGATGAGAAAGAGAGAGAGAGGGAGAGAGGGAGAGAAATTGAGAAAACAAGCCACCAGATCTGGGATTTCAATCGCATTTGGCCATGTGGGAGTCCAGAGACCTTAACCACACCACCTGCAGGCCCCTATAAGCTATGTTTTTTAAAAAGAAATTATTTTATGTCGCTGGACTCCCACGTAGTCGACCGCAGTTCGCGTCCTGGACCAGGTGGCTTAAAACTCACACCGGGCGTGTGTGTGTGTGTGCCCAAGATCCCGAGAGGAGAATGGAGGAGAAGGGATTGTGGCGTGACCATCTCCCCTGGGGGGTGATTTCTCGCTTTCTGTCTCTATGTCTCTCTCTCTGTCTGTCTGGCGAGCAAATGCGCCCTATAGCAAAAAAACCTCTCAAAAAAAAAAAAAAAGAAGAAATTATTTATTTAATTTGATCAGAGAGGGACAGAGTGAATGAGAGAAAGAGAGACACAGAAAGAGAGAGAAAGGAAGAATGCAAGCCACCAGGTTTGGATCTCAAACTATGGTTGGCCATGTGGAAGTCCAGCACCCTTAACCACCACACCACCTGCTAACCCCCCAAAATAAATTTAATTTATTTGTTTATTTATTAATTTTCTAGAGAGACTTTTGGTATACGGTGCATGTGCTCGCCAGAGAGACAGAGGCAGAAGCAAGAAATCCTCCTGGGGGGATGGTCACATTGCAATCCCTTTTCCTCCAATCTCCTTTTGGGATTTTGGGCATGCACACGTGTCTGTCATGAGTTTCAGGCCACCCAGTCCAGGACACGAACCACAGGTGACCATGTGGGAGTCCAGCAATGTAACCATTATGCCATTTGTTGGTCTCCAAATAATCAATTTTTAAAAGATCAAACTGCATCACATAAATCTTAAGAATGACAGTGAAACTAATTGTTATTATTGGCAACTCAAAGATCAGAAGAGGGCCAGCCTGTGGTGGAGTGGTTAAGCAGCTGGATCCTACATGGCCAATTCTGCAGCTGAAATTCTAGACTGGTTCAAATTCTAGACCGAGCTGAGTGAAAAGCCTGCCAGGCATGTGTGTGTACCCAAAATTCCAAGAAGAAAACGGAGGAGAGGGACTACCGCGTGGCCATATACTTCAGGAGTGACTTCTCACTTTCCCTCCCTCTGTCTGGCAAGCACTCATGCCCTATAGGAAAACTAAAAAAAAAAAAAAAAAAAAAAAAAAAAGTCAGAAGATAATAATAATATCTAATTGTATAAATACAAATAGATTTCACTAGTTTCTCCTTTTTTAAAAAAATGAACTTAGTTCTTATTTTTTTTAAAAATTGGTTATAGGGCACATGTGCTCACCAGAGAGAGAAAGGGAAAGTGAGAAAGTGACTGGAACCCCAGAGTCCGCCATGTAGGAATCCAGCGCCTTACAGGGCTCATGTGCTCACCAGAGAGAGAGAGAGAGCAAGAAACAAAGTGAGAAATCAGCCCCAGAAGGATGGCAAAACCCCTTCTCCTCCATTCTCTTTTTTGGGATTTTGGGGCATGGGCACAGGTGCCAGGAGTGAGTTTAAAGCTACTGGGTCCAAGATTCAAACAGTGGTTTACTATGGGGGAGTCCTGCAACATAATCATTAAGCATCCCCTAGTTTCTTAACTCTCTACTGACAATGAAACAAAATTCTAAACATAATCAATCCCTTCAGTATGATCAAACTAACTGAGGAGCTATTGCTGAATGTGTCAACATCATCTCCACTTTACCCAAGAACCTGGCTACTTTATAAGCATAACCATGAATTCTCCAGACTGTATTTATGTAATGCCTAGTGAATACCCAGCGGTACACCATATTAGAAGTTAAACAATATATTGGGGCTGGCAGGTGGCATGGTGGTTAAGGGCGTTGGACTCCCACGTGGCCAACCGTGGTTCAAGTCCTGGACCTAGTAGCTTGCTATCTCACTTCCCCCATCCCCCCTGCCCCACGCTCTGTCCCTCTGGTCAAGTTAAAATAAACAAACAAACAAACTTAAATAATTTTTAAAAAGAAGTTAAACAATATACTGAGTGGCGAATCGTATTTTGCCTAGTTCTACCAATTGTTCCATGACCTATCTATCCGACCAAATAAGGAACAAACACTTCTTGCATTCTGTTCAAGAAGGGGTTCACCATATGGAGGTAGCTTAGAGTAGTAAAAAGGATACTAGGTTTGAATTTTGGTTTTAATAAAACTGTGTTCGAAGCTCCTATATCTTTATCTTCCTGTGACAGAGCTACGAGTATTCGAAACGCGCAGTATTCGCTGAAGTGCTCAACATATGCTGTTTTGGTTTTTGTTTACCCCTTACGCACTTTCAGAGATCGGAGTTACATTAAACTGGAAAGAAGACTCCTCAGTAGTAGATAGAAGATGAGTTACTCCCCTAATAAGGTGTACTCGCCTGGCAATGAAAGACCTCATGGGTTCCCTTCCAAATTGCTTTTGGATTCTCCTGAAGTTCTATACTTTATAAGTGACTAACTCCACGGCTTGAACACTCGCGTCCAACTTTGCACCAGAACAGAAGTTGCTGCATAGCTCAATCCCGCCCTCTCAGAACCCAAGGAGCCCAGGTCCAGCCCACCGTGGGTATATCATTTGCTTACTTTTCCTGCTACTTCTTAGCTAAGCAGGCCATGAAGCACTTAACAGCCTCAGCCGGGAAGCACCAACGGTCTCGGAAACCTCCACGGTCCAGACTCGGCTCCCCGGGGGGGTGGGGACCTGCGCCCCGTGGCTTCCGAGCCGTGGGCGGCTAGCCCACAATTCCTTGCGAGGGTGGGAAAGGCGAGGGGGGCAGGCAAGGGGGGCTCGCCAAGGCCGACTAGAAGTGCCAAGTGACTGGAGCCCTACAGTGGGCAGGCAGATTAATCTTTACATAACTGTTTCCTGGACTTCTCACATTATGACTGTTAACAGGGCTGTGTGTGTTTCCACAACTCCTACTCCGGGAGATCATTCCTATTAACTCTGTGGGCTGAGGCAATAAAATGTGTGTAGAGCCCCTAAGACTCAATATCCATTTAATGGTCTCCATCTTTCCACTATTAGGCTGTATCTGTTTTTTTTTTTTTGAGAGGTTTTTGCTATAGGGTGCATGCGCTCGCCAGAGAGAGACATAGAGACAGAAAGCGAGAAATCACCCCCCAGGGGGAATGGCAACGCCGCAATCCCTTCTCCTCTCGGGATCTTGGGCACGCACACCACATGCACCCGGCGTGAGTTTAAGCCACTGGGTCCGGGACTCGAACCGCGGTCAACTACGTGGGAGTCCAGCGACATAGCCATTACGCTAACTGCTGGTCCCTCAGGCTGTATCTTTGATGGGGCAAATCTAAATCAGAGTTGAAGGAATCAACGGAAACGCCGCCGAAGAGTGTACAGTTTTACATGCCTCCGCAGGGCGGCAAAACCCCCAAACCGCGTGCGGTAGGGGTTCAAACCCCGCCCCTTCCGCTCTACGTCTGACGCTATTCCGCACAGCCGGACACCGGCTTGCGGGATTTAGCGGCTCCGTTGGTGCGCAAGCGCGCGTTTAGGCGTGTCTCTTTGAAATGCAGCGGGATTTAGTGAGTTTCCCGCTGTCTCCGGCCGTGCGGGTGAAGCTAGTGTCCGCAGGTTTCCAGACTGCTGAGGAGCTTCTAGAGGTGAAACCCTCCGAGCTCAGCAAAGGTAATGGTTTCCGACAGCAGGGAGGTACACTGGGCCACCGTCGGCACCGCCTCCTCTTCGTTCTCCCGCCTGGTTTCCGCCAGATTTAGTTAAGACCGCGTTTACAAAGTTGACTCCACTTAAAATTTGAGTGGTTAGAATACTGCAGTCGTGAAAACATTTGCTGTTGCTTTTTCTGGCAGTGCCTGCTGAATGCTTTCAGGATTACTGCACATACATATATAAAACGTGGATAATTATGTCCAACATGTTTATGAGATTACTGGTTTTTCTATTTTTAAAAAATAATTATTTTATTTAACTTTATTTCTTTAATTTGACGAGAGAGGACAGAAAGAGAAAGTGAGAAAGCAAGCTGCCAGGTCTGGGTCTCGAACCACAGTCGGCCTGTGGGAGTCCCAGCACTCTTAAACACTATGCCAACTGCTGGTTGATAACTGGTGTTTTTGTTTAGGAGGTTATGTAACTATTTTTAAAAAGAATTATTTTATTTAACTATGTATTTATTTACTTAATTTGACCAGAGAGAGAGAGAGCGAGGGGAGGCGAGTGAGAAAGCAAGCTGCTAGGTCCAAGATTTGAACCTTGGTCGGCCATATGGGAGTCCAGCACCATTAACCCCTACACCACTTACCATCCCCCTTTAAGTAACTTCTTAAAAGAATATTTAATTTTATTCATTATCATTATTTTTTGACTAGAAAGTGAGAAAGCAAGTTACCAGGTCTGGGACTCAAACCCTGGTGGGCCTTGTGGGAATCCAACGCCTCAACCACCACCCCACCTGCTGGCCCCAGTTAAGTAACTTAAGGATAATGGTTGTCAGAATTGGAAATAAGACAGGCTGTCTCATTTCCCCTGTTCCAAAGGATAGAGATTCAAGAAATGCAAGGTTCCTGTAGGACTGGAGACCCAGACTGAGAACCTGGAAAAAAAACAGTTAAAAAGGGGGGGATCAGCAGATGGCGTAATGGTTAGGTCGCTGAACTCCCATGTAGTCAACCATGATTCAAGTACCCCACCCGGTGGCTTGAAACTCATGCCAGGTGTGTGCCCCAAATCCCCAGAGGAGAATGGAAGAGAAGGGATGGCCCTGGGGGATGATTTCTCTTTTTTGTCTGTCTCTGCCTCTCTCTCTGTTGTTGGCAAGTGCACGTGTCCTATAAAAATCTCTCTCTCAAGAAAAAGACATCTGAAGACCAGTAGATGGCATATAATGGTTACATTCCTGTAGTCTGCTGATGGACTCCCATGCAGTTGACCGCCCTTTAAGTCTCATTGGCCTAAAACTCACTCCAGGTGCCTATATGTGTGTGTCCAAGATCCCAAGAGGAGAATGGATTGCAGCATGGCCATCCCCCCTGGAGGAGTGATTTCTTGCTGTCTGTCTCTCTGGTGGGCGCATGGGCCCTATAACAAAAATCTCTCTCCAAAAAAAAAAAAAGACATCAGTTTTCTTACAAAATTTACTGAAAAACCCAAAACTTCATATTCCAGAGTACTGTTGAGTATATGTTGGTGGTTACCACTGCATCCTGATATATAAAAATGAAGCTGAGTGGGTATTTACTGTGTTCATTATGGTATGCCCAGATTTGTGCTATTCACTGGAGAAGATGAAACAAAATTTTAACCTAAAGCAAAGATTTTTTTTTTTTGGAGAGGTTTTTGCTATAGGGCATGGGCATTTGCCAGAAAGACAGAGAGACAGAAAGCGAGAAATCACCCCTGGGGGGGGATGGCCACACCGCAATCCCTTTTCCTCCATTCTCCTCTCAGGATCTTGGGCACACACGCACACATGCCCAGTGTGAGTTTAAGCCACCAGATCCAAGATTCGAACCTCAGTGAACTACATGGGAGTCCAGTGACAACTATTACACCAACTGCTGGTCCCCTGAATAATTTCTTTTTTTTTTTTTTTCATTTCATTTTCTTCATACATTCAATCACATTATTTGTCTTACAAAATGGATATTTCAACAGGTGAACATTTCTCCCTAGTGCTGTTGATAAAACTACAAAATACCTTCAACAGATAATACCATACCTCTTTGTGCCATTAATGCTTTGCCTCCCTGTCCCTCCCCCAAATGTCCTTCCTCAGTCCCTCCTCTTTCACACACACTATATCTGGTATTTATATCTATATACTGCGTTTCTATATACTTTAGACAATTAGTTTCAGTCATAGAGTGCAGACACTCGGTATATATTAAGTGGGGACATACAATGCCTCTCCTTCATAGCATGGCTTGCTTCACTTGGTATCTCATTCTTGTTTTGATCTGCATTTCCCTTACAATGAAGGATGTTGAGCATTTTTTCATATGCCTTTTAACTATTCATATGTCATCCTTTTTTTTTTGAGAGGTTTTTTCTATAGGGCATGTGCGCTTGCCAGAAAGACAGAGACAGAGAGATAGAAAGCGAGAAAGCACCCCCCGGGGGGGGGGCACACTGCAATCCCTTGTTCATTCTTCTCTGGGATCTTGGGCACACACGCACATGTCCCTGGCGTGAGTTTAAGCCACTGGGTTCGGTAGTCGAACCACAGTTGGCTACATGAGAGTTCAGCGACATAGCCATTACGCTAGCTGCTGGTCCCTTTGTATGTCGTCTTTAGAGAGCTGTATGTTCAACTCATTCTGCCATCTTTGTATAGGATTAATTGTCTTTTTTCAGAACAGCTGCTTGAATTTCTTGTGAATTCTGGTTATCAGTCCCTTATCTGACATACAGTTTACAAAAATATTTTCCCATTCTGAGTGATAGCTATTCACACAAATTACTGTGTCCTTTGCCATGCAGAAACTTCTTAGTCTGATGTAATCCCAGTTGTCTATTTTGGGGATTATTGACTGTGCTTTGGGGGTCTTATTTAAGAAGTATTTCCCTACCCCAGTGTCTCCCAGAGTTTCCCCGGTGTTTTCCAGGAGCAGTTTTATAGTTTGAGGTCTTAGATTTAGATCTTTGATCCACCTTGACTTTATTTTTGTCAGAGGTGAGAGGTAGGGGTTCAGATTCATCTTTCTGCAAGTGGAATCCAGTTTTGCCAGCACCATTTGCTGAAGAGGTTTTCCTTTTCCCACTGGATTGATTGGTACCCCTTCTCAAAAATCAGTTGGCCATCCCCTAAATAATTTCTAATAATGAGTATTTTGAATACCTTTGGTATTCTAAAGCTTTTTTTTTTTTTTTTAAAGAGAATTTTTGCCCTATGCACGTGCACAGCTGGAAAGATAGACACAGAAAGTGAGAAATCACTCCCAGGGAGGATGGCCATGTTCCAGTCCCCTCTCTCAGGACTTTGGTCACGCATGCAAACACATCTGGTGTAAGTCTCAAGCCTCCAGGTCTGGGACTCGAACTGCAGTTAGCCTTGTGGGAGTCCAGGAACGTAACCATTATGCCATCTGCTGGCCCCTCTACCAAACTTTTTACATGTATTGTCTAATTCTCATTATATGAAAGAAGATCTGAATCACAGAAAAATAACATGCTCAGACATGCTCAGAGTAACACAGTAAGTGAAGTAGGCAGGATTTACAGACCCTAGCAAAGTTATGCCACCTTCAACTTCTTGAATTGGATAGGATTTTTTATTTCTTAAATGCTTATCACCATGGTCTTTAGCTTTATTTATTTATTTATATATTTTGCTAGAGTGTACAGGTGCTCCCAGAAAAGAGAAAGTAAGAAATCACCCCCACCTTCCCTGGTGGGAGGGTTGACCACACTGCATTTCCTTCTCCTCCATTCACCTCTTGGGATTTTTAGCACATGCAGATAGGTGCGCACGTGTTTGGCATATTTTTTAAGCTGTAGGTTCTGGGACTTAAACTGTACAGTCAGCTATGTGGGATCTATCCACTTTAACCACCAAACCACTTGGCCGGCCCTACTACAAACCATTGTCTTTTATTTATTTACTTTTTTTAAGAATTATTTTATTTATGGGGCTGGCAAGTGGTGTGATTGTTAAATACGCTAGATTCCCACATGACTGACTGCAGTTTGAGTCCTGGACCTGGTGGCTTACTTTCTTGTTTTCCCTCTTTTCTCTCTCTGGTCAAATTAAAAAATAATAACAAATATAATTAAATAAATAAATCTTTTTTTTTTTTTTTTTTTGGAGAGGTTTTTTGCTATAGGGCACATGCACTTGCCAGAAAGACAGAGAGATAGAAAGCAAGAAATCACCCTTTTGGGGGATGGCCACACCGCAATCCTTTCTTCTCCATTTTCCTTTAAGGATCTTCGACATACACTTACACATGCCCAGCATGAATTTAAGCTGTCGATTGGGTCCGGTATTCAAACTGCAGTTGGCTACATGGGAGTCCTGTGACACAGCCATTATGCCAACTCTGGTCCCTTAAATAAATACATCTTTAAAAAAGATTTAATTTTATTTATTTATTATTATTATGTTTTAATTGGACTGGCGACAGTCAGATATATATATATAGAGAGAGAGAGAAAGTGAGAAAGCAAACTGCCTGGTCTGGGACTTGAACTGTGGTTGGCCGTGTGGGAATCCAGCACCTTAACCACCATGTCACATGCTGGCCCTGCACCGTTGTCTTTTATTTGCACCATATGTGTAGTTCATTGACTTGCCAAAGTATACATCAAATTGATAAGTGATATCCTCATCATTATTTCTTTTTCAGGCAGCGTATTTTGTAATTGTTGTTTGGTTTTCTCAGGCCATATTATTACACAGGAAGAAAATGTGTAGTTGAAGCACGTATCTGTTATTATTTGTGCCTTATATAATTCTCAAATACTTTGGAGTGATAAATTTTTGTTTTTTAGGTTTTTGCCATGGGGTGTGTGTGCTTGGTGGAGAGAGAGAGAGGAAGTGAGAAATCACCCCCCACACACACTGGGGATGGTCACACTGCAGTCTCTTCTCCTTCATTCTCCTCTTTAGAGTCTAGGCATGCACACACTTGTGCTTTCTGTGATTTTTATGCCACCAGATCTAGGCCTTAGACCGTGGTCAGTCATGTGGAATCCAGCTAGCACCTTAACCACTATGCAACCTTTTGACCCTTGTAAATTAATTTTTATTTTAGTGTTTCAGCAGAATTTTAAGTTATGAATGATACATGTACTTATAGTACATGTTTTAGGAAAAGAAACCATTTTCTTTCCTTTTGTTTCCCCCTTAATTTTGCCAGAGGGTGGGTGCACTTGCAAGGTTGGAGGTTGGGATGAGTGGGATACCTCCCATTGGGAAGGATCACATGTAATCTTTTCTCCATTTTTCTCTCTCCATTTGGGATTTTTAGGCATGTACACACATGAGCCCAGACTGTTTTTTTTCAAGCTGCAAGGTCTGGGACTCACACCCATGGTGCTGTCAGCTATGTGGGATCCAGCTACCGTGACCATGACACCACCAGCTGACCCACAGAATAAGCCATTTTCATTCTTAGCTGAAAAATAATCTGTATACCTCATGAGAACACTGTAACTACAGCTTCATCAAACCAAAAAAGTAAGAAGACTAAGAGCTAGTGTATTTTTTCCGACCTCCTAAAATACTCTTGTAGATACTCAGAAATACTTCAGTAGAATTGTTTCTGAAGAATAGGTAAAACTTTTGTGATGACTGAAACATAGACAGATGCCTTTATTAATTTGAAAAAATAGTCAATGTAATTTTTTAAAAGAGGTTTTTGCTGTAGGGCGTGTGCACTCCCCAGAAAGACAAGAGAGAGACAGAGAGACAGAAAGCAAGAAATCACCCCCCATGGGGGATGGCCATGCTGCAATCCCTTTTCCTCCATTCTCCTCTCAGGATCTTAGGCACACACACACATGCCCCATGTGAGTTTAAGCCCCCAAGTCCGGGACTTGAACCATGGTTGACTGCATGGGAGTCCAGCGACATAGCCCTTTCGCCAACTGCTTTTCCCTAATGTAATGTTTTTAAAATTATTTAAAAAAAATTATTAATTTATTGTAAGAGAGAGTTTTTTTTTTTTTTTTTTTTTTTTTTTTTTTTTCATTCTCCCCTCGGGATCTTGGGCATGCACACACATACATCTGGCATGAGTTTAAGCCACCGGGTCTGGGGACTTGAACTGCAGTTGACTACCTGGGAGTCCAACGACATAGCCATTACGCCAAGTGCTGGTCCCGAGAGAGCAATTTTTGCTATAGGGCACATGCATTCCCTGGAGAGACAAGAGAGACAGAAAGCGAGAAATCACCCCCCAGGGGGGATGGCCACACCTCAGTCCCTTCTCCTCCATTATCCTCTTGGGATTTTGGATATGCATGCACACGTGCCTGGCATGGGTTTCAAGTTGCCAGATCGGGACTCGAACCACGTTGACTATGTGGCAATCCAGGGATGTAACCATTAGGCCATCTGCTGATCCCAATTTTATTTATTATTATCATTTTTTTTTTTAAGAGATATTTTTGCTGTAGGACGCTTGTGCTTGCGAGAGACAGAGACAGGAAGCAAGAAATTACCCCCCAGGGGGATGGCCACGCCACAATCCCTATTCCTCTATTCTCTTTCCGGGATCCTGGGCGCACACACACACACACACACACACACACACACACACACCCCCACACCCCTCGCATGAGTTTTAAGCCATCAGGGTCCAGGACTCAAACCACAGTTGACTATGTGGGAGCCCAGTGACCATTAAGCCATCTGCTGGTCCCAGAAAGTGAGAAATTACACCCTGCAGGGGAGGGAATGGCCACACCACAATTCCTTCTCCATTCTCCTCTTGGGATTTTGGGTTCACATGCGTACACGCCCAGTGTGAGGTTTTGTTTTGGTTTTTTTTTTTTTTAATTATTTATTTATATATTATCATTATTTTTCAGTTTGATTAGAGAGAAACAGAGTGAGGGAGAGAGAAAGTGAGAAAGCAATCCACCAAGTCTGGGACTCAAACTGGTCATTCATGTGGGAGTCCTGCACTTTTAACCACCATGCCACCTGCTGCCTCCAGTGTGAGTTTTAAGCCACTGGGCCTGGGACTTGAACCATTATTGACTACATGGGAGTCCTGTGACATAACCATATACCTACTGCTAGTTCCAATTATTATTATTTTTTAATTTGACCAGAGAGAGGGAAAGTGAGAAAGCAACCCACTAAGTCAAGGACTTGAACCATGGTCTCAGCCATGTGGGAGTCCAGTGCCTTAACCACCACGCCACCTGCCAGCCCCCAAAACAGTTAATGTCACATTGTAATGTTTATGTAGGCATTGTTCTTATTATGTAAAAATTAAAATGAAAGAACAAACACATTATTTTTGACTTTTAAATCTAAAATCAGGATACATTTTCTTATTTTACTTTCAGAAGTTGGGATATCTAAAGAGGAAGCTTTAGAAACCTTGCAGATTATTAGAAGAGAATGTCTCACAAGTAAACCAAGATACGGTGGTCCATCTGAGTCAGGAAAGAAGTGTACAGCACTGGAACTTCTTGAGCAAGAGCATACCCAGGGCTTCATCGTTACCTTCTGTTCAGCACTGGATAATATTCTTGGAGGTGGAATACCCTTAATGAAAACAACAGAAATTTGTGGTGTACCAGGTGTTGGAAAAACACAGTTATGGTAAAATAAAATTTTCTCCTCTTAAGGGTAGAATTAATAAGATTTTGTGTATTAATAAGAAATAGAGTATTGTGCTGTTAGTTTATATTCAGGAGACCAAAATAGGTACATATAGGCTCTTACTTTTTTTATTTTAAGAGTTATTTTATTTTGGGGGCCAGCAGATGGCGTGGTGGTTAAAGCTCTGGATACTCCCACGTGACCAACCATGGTTCGAGTCCCAGATCTGGTGACTTGCTTTCTCTCTCTCTCTCTCTGGTCAAATTAAAATAAATGAATGCATAAATAAACAAATAATTCTTTTAAAAAAAGAATTTTTAAAAATTCATTTATTTTATTTTAATTTCACCAGAGAGAAGGGGGAAAGTGAGAAAGCAAGCTGCCAGGTTTGGGATTTGAACTGTGGTCAGCCATGTGGGATTGTCCAGTGCCTTAACCTGCAGGTCCCTATGCTCTTAATTTTATATGTGTCATGTACACACCTAAAACAAAAATCATCTTACCATTTGTGTTACTCTAGTAGCATATCTTTTTTTTTTTTTTTTGAGAGAGATTTTTGCTGTAGGGTGTATGCGTTCACCAGAAAGGCAGAGACAGAGAGACAGAAAGCAAGAAATCACCCCCCGGGGGATGGCCATGCCACAATCCCTTCTCCTCCATTCTCCTTTTGGGATCTTGGGCACGCATGCACACACCCCTGGTGTGAGTTTATGCCACTGGGTCCAGGATTTGAACCATAGTCAACTATATGGGAGTCCAGCGACATAGCCATTACACCAACTGCTGGTCCCCTAGTAGCATATCTTAATAAATGGTTACAATTAACTTGATATCAAAAGCTGTTTTTGTTTTTATCCCCTAATGTTTGCTTTAGGGCTCATGCTGCCAGAGACAGACTATAACAGAAAGAAGGGAAGTGAGAAAGCATCTCAACAGGGGATGGCCACATCACAATCCCTTCTCCAGTTTCATCTTGGGATTTGGGGCATGCATGTGCACATGCCAGGCATGACTTTAAGCTGCCTGATCCAGGACTCAAATCACAGTTGTCCACGTGAGATCCAGCTGCCCTAATTACCATACCACCTGCTGGCCCCGAAAGCTGTTTCTTTTGCAACATAATAAATAGCGTGGTATTAAACAGGCAATATTGGGCCAGCAGGTGACATGGTGGTTAAGGCAGCTGGATCCCACATGGCCAGCAGCATGGTTCAAGTCACTGACATGGCAGCTTAAAAGACATGCCAGGCACATTTGTGTATGTGCCTAAAAATCCCAAGAGAAGATTGGAGGAGAAGGGATTACAGTTTGGTCATTCTTCCTTGGGACTGATTGCTCATTCTCATTCTCTTTCTGTCTCCAGTTAGTGCGTGTGCCATATAGGAAAACTATAATAAAAACAAACAAACAAACAAAAACAACAACAACAAGAAAAAACAGTCTCTCTCTATTCTTGAGAATATCTTTGAAAGTCAATTTTTTTTTTTTTGAGAGGTTTTCGCTATAGGGCACGTGCGCTCGCCAGACAGACAAAGAGAGACAGAGAGACAGAAAGCGAGAAATCACCCCCTAGGGGGATGGTCATGACGCAGTCCCTTCTTCATTCTCCTCTCGGGATCTTGGGCACGCACGCACACGCATCCAGCGTGAGTTTTAAGCCACTGGGTCCGGGATGTGAACCACAGTCGACTACATGGGAGTCCAGCAACATAGCCATTACGCTAACTTCTGGTTCCCGAAAGTCAAATGTTTTGAAATAAATGTATGTGTAGTAAGGAAGGGGGTTAGAGCCAGCCGGGTGGTGTGGTGGACCCATACAACTCACTGCACTGTGTGGTGGTCCCACACGGCTGACTGCACTGTTCAACTCTCTAACCCAGGGGCTTGAAAAACAGGCTAAGAGCATATGAATGCCAAAATTCTGAAAAGACAAATGCAGAAGAGAGTGTGGCAGGATCCCCTCCAGGAGGAGTGCTTTCTCACTGTCTCTGTCTCCAGGGATCACATGCACCCTCTAGCAATTTTTTTTTTTTTTTTAATTTTTGCTAGAGGGCCCTTGTGTGCTCACGGGACAGAGACAGAGGAGGAAAGTGAGAAAGCACTCCCCAGGAAGGATGACCATACCACAATCTCATCTCCATTCTCCTCAGGATTTTGGGCACTCATGCATATGCGCCTGGCGTGACTCCAGTCATGCAGCTGGCCACCAAGGATCCAACCTCCTTAACCCCCATGTCTCCTGCTGTCTCCCTCTATCCCAGCAAATTCAAGAGAAAAAAAGGGAAGGAGTGGTTTATTAACAGAGGTCTGAAAACCATTAAAAAGTCTTTATTGTGGTTTTATACCATGCCCTCCCCCTAATCCAGTCATCAGTTGGTTCACAAATACATGGAGCCATGGAGAATCTGATATTTCTGTTCCCTTGGGGAGTATATTTGCATTTATACAACTTTTACTGGTACCTAATTGGTCAATAGCTAATGTTTGAAAGATAGTGATTTAAATAATCATGAAAATGATTTGGTCATTTGGCTACTTTTTCTTTATAGTATGCAGTTGGCAGTAGATGTGCAGATACCAGAATGTTTTGGAGGAGTAGCAGGTGAAGCAATTTTTATTGATACAGAAGGAAGTTTTATGGTTGATAGAGTGGTAGACCTTGCTACTGCCTGCATTCAGCACCTTCATCTTATAGCAGGCACACACATGGAAGAAGGTAAGTTAACAAATGATCCTCTCTTTTTTTTTTTTTGGCTATAGGGGCATGTACTCTCCAGAGACAGAGAGAGGGAAATTGAGAAAGCACCCCCCTGGGATGATGGCCATGCTGTAATTTCCTTCTCCTTCATTTTCCTCTCAAGATTTTGAGCACATGCACACATGCCCGGCATGTTTTTCAAGCCACGTGGATTTAGTCCTCCTTAGCTATCATGCCACTGGGTGGCCCTGATCCTCTTTTCTGTGTGATAAAAGTAATTTGCCTTTGTGCTCATCTGTAGACCTAAGGAAAAGACTATTTGGAATGTGAAACTTAATGATTTGACATTGTACTAGTGTGAGGCTCTCATATCTTTGTTACAAAATAAGAAATGCCACAGCCTAAATGCACCTTTTTGTCCTTTCATCCTTTCTTATGTCCCTTACTTCTTACTGAAGGAGCTTTGGGGCAAGAAGCCTTAAATATGAAAGTGTCTGACTTCCAATCACCATACTCCAGTTTGCCTGGTCTAAACTAATGTTGACATCTTCATATGAGGTGTTTTTGTTTGTTTGTTTGTTTGTTTGTTTTGTTTTCTTTGTTTGTTTTTGCTATAGGGCATGTGTCCTTGCTGGTGAGACAGACAAAAAGAGAGAAATCACCCCATGGGAGATGGTCACATAACAGATTTGCTCCATTCTTATTTATTTATTAAAATAATTATTTTATTTTTATTTTATTTATTCATTCGTTTATTTTTATTTGGCCAGAGAGAGAGACAGAGAGAGAGAGAGAGAGAAAGTGGGTTAGTAAGCCACCAGGTCCAAGACTTGAACCATGGTCGCCCATGTGGGAGTGTCCGGCGCTTTAACCACCACACTGTCTGCTGGTCCCCTATTTATTTATTTAGGGATTTTTGCTGTAGGGTATGTGTGCTCGCTGGAGAGACAGAGAGAGACAGACAGAAATCTAGAAATCACCCCCCAGAGGGGATGACCATGCTGCAGTCCCTTCTCTTCTCCATTTTTCTTTTAGAATTTTGGGCATGCATGCACACATACTTGGCGTGAGTTTTAAGCCACTGGGTCTGGGACTTGAACTGCGGTCAACTACATGGGAGTCCAGTGATGTAACCACCATGCCATCTGTTGGTCTCACAGTTCTTCTCCATTCTTCTCTTAGGATTTTGCATGCACATGCACTGGAAGTGAGTTTCAAGGTGCCCAGTCCAGGACTTAAACCATAGTTGACCAAGTGGGAGTCTAGTGCCTTCACCACTGTGCCACCTGCTGTCCCCGATAGAAGCAAATCTTAAATGTATTTAGTATATATTGATTTGGATAATGGTTTTTCCAAAAACCGAAGGTAGTATGAATCAACATCTATAAATGTTTGAAACATTAAACTGATTTACCTCTGGGGCTTTGATTCATATATAACTGCTTCAGGGACCAGTAGGTGGTGTGGGGTTAAGGCGCTGGACACTTTAACATGGCTGACCACAGTTCGAATCCTGGACCTGGTGGCTTGCTTTCTCACTTTCTCTCTCTCTCTCTCTTTTTCTCTGTCTCTTTCTGGTCAAATTAAAATAAATTAATGAATAAATAAAATTAAAAATAAATAATTATTAAAAAATATATAACTGCATAATTTGTTATTTTGTTTTTTTTTTAATTTTGTTTTTTTTTTTTTTTGAGAGAGATAGATTTTTTTACTATAGGGCACATGCACTTACCAGAGAGACAGAGAGATAGAAAGTGAGAAATCACTCCTCGGGGGGATGGCCACACTGCAATCCCCTCTCCTCCAGTCACCTCTTGGGTTTTGGGCACTCATGCACACGCGCCTGGTGTGAGTTTTAAGCCACCAGGTCTGGGACTTGAACCATTATCTACCACATGGGAGTACAGCAGTGTAACCATTACACCATCTACTGGTCCCTTAAATTTTGTTTTGTTTTGTTTGAACAAGAGAATTTTATTTCTCTCTTACATAAAGGAAGTCTAAAGATAGGCAAGTCAGGGCTGGTGCAATGACTCCATTGTTGTCAGTGACCAGGATGTCCTCTCCTTTGTTTTTTTTTCTTTTTCTTTTATTTTTTTAAATTATTTACACATTTAATTACTATACATCATTTAAATTGTAAAGAGATTTTACCCAGCATGATAAACACCTCAGCCCAGCCCGGTTGAGAATACTGTACATGTCCTCATCAACAAATAGTAAACCATATCTGTGTCCCACAAATGTCTTACCTCTCTATTTTTTACCCCAAATTTTCTTTTCTATACTCTTCCCCCCCATACTCTTTTCACTTTGTCTCTAGTATCCATAACAATTTTTAATACTTTTATGTCCTCCAGGCTTTTAGTCTCTACCATAGAGTGCTGATAGTTGGTATATGGTTTTTAGAGATTATTGCCTGTGCTTTGGGGGGGTCTTACTTAAGAAGTCTTTGCCTACCCCACTGTCTCCCAGAGTTTCCCCAATGTTTTCTATCAGTAGTTTTATAGTTTGCCATCTTAGGTTTAGATCTTTGATCCACTTTGGGTTGATTTTTGTCAGAGGTGAGAGGTAGGGCTTCAGATTCATCTTTGTGTAGGAGGATACCCAGTTTTTCTAGCACCACTTGCTAAAGAGGCTTTCCTTTTCCCACTGGATTGACTGGTACCCTTTGTTAAAGAAGAGATGGCTGTATGTTTTGGGGTTTATTTCTGGGGTCTCTACTTTGGAGAGTTTTTTGTTGTTGTTGTTGTTGTTTTTGCTATGGGGCACGTGCACTCACCAGACAGACAGAGAGAGAGAGACAGAGAGATAGAAAGTGAGAAGTCACCACCCCCCCCGGGAGGACGGCCACACTGCAATCCCTTCTCCTCCATTCTCCTCTTGGGATCTTGGGCACGCATGCATACGCGCCCGGCGTGAGTTTTAAGCCACCAGGTCCGAGACTTGAACCGCAGTCGGCTACATGGGAGTTCAGCAACATAGCCATTATGCTAACTGCTGGTCCCAAGGGGTCTCTACTCTGTTCCATTGGTCCTCATGTCTGTTTTTGTGCCAATGCATACTGTTTTGATTATCACAGTTTTGTAGTGTATTTTGGGGTCAGGAAGTGAGATGCTCCCTACTCCACTCTTCTTGCGCAGAATGGCTTTGGCAATACGTAGTCTTTTATGATTCCAGACAAATTCTATGATTGTCTTTACTAGATCTGTGAAGAATATCTCTTGTAATGTTATAGGGGTTGCATTAAATATGTAGATTAATTTGGATAGGATCGCCATTTTGATTTTTAATTCTGCCAATCCAGGAACATGGGATGTCCTCCTACTTTTTTTTGTGTCCTTTTTAATTTCCTTATAGAGGTCTTTGCCTTTCTTGGTTAGTTTTATTCCTAAGTATTTAGTACTTTGTTTTTTTTTTTTTTTTTTTTTTTGGTTTTTTTTTTTTCTCTTGAGAATTGGTCCTGTTTTCTTTTTCTTTTTTTTTTTCCTTTGTATTTTTCTTTTTTTATTTCTCTTTTTTTTTTTTTTTTTTTTTCTCCCATGGGGGGTGTGCACCCTGGA